CCCAGACAGCCCCTTAAGTGACTTCACCTCATCTCAGCGATGCTCATTACCAGCGATAGAAGACCATCCATTCAGAGCAGCAGTATGAAACAAACCAAGCCTATCTGGAGAGAGGACAAGAGGGTGTCAATATGGGCCGGCAAAACTGATTGGGTTCTGTACTGTAGAGGGGTTTAGGCCTACATCTCTTCATTTTTAGCGGCCTCCAGTTACACTTCACTCCTTGCTGTCACAATTACCTGTAGAGCAGATTTTGAATTCAAATGTATCAACAGTATTTCTAAATATTTACTCATAAAACAGAAAAAAAAGTGTGCCTCCACAGCTGGTTTCTTTAAACATATTTCAGCAGCTATAACTCAAAGCAGGTCACCATGGCAAAATCCACACAGCATCAAGTATTCATTTTGAAGCCTGTGTTTACGCTGCTCAATTTGTTAGCCTAGCGTCTCTGAGCAGCAGGCTGCTGCTGCGATGTTAAAAAAGCTTCTGTCTTCACAAGATGGAGTCTAGCAGAGAGGATGGAGAGGTAGGCAGAGGACTCCTAAGACTGCAATATCTTCCACTGCCACGTTTGTTTGAAATGCCACATTTGACAAATTACACCTTCTTTCAACCTAATAGCCCCCTGTAAATGTCTTTTCTCTTTCAAGTATTGTGCTTGAATGTACACGTATGGCTTTGGAGTGCAGGAACAGTACATATTCAGCAAATGAGCCGGAGATAGAATCACTCACGCCTGCCTGTGAAACGGGCCTGGGCACAGAACTGAGCCTGTGAACTGTAGCAGGGTGAACAGATTAAGCCAGCAAGGAGCGGCTGGGCTTAATGACTTTGATTTGAATTTCTATTTGTTTTATTAGAAACCACTGACATTTGAAGCACACCTGTACACTACTGTCACTGACTAACCTTTATAAAGAGGACTGCTATGTTTGTCCTGAAGCAACAAAAGCCCAGAAAAACTAGTGTGACACTGACACACTTTGTCTCTTTAGTCTGTTTTACAATTCTGTTTTAAAACAGGCTAAACCAACTAATAAGAAAAAGCTACAGTAAACAAAAGGAAGCTGAAAAATGTCAGTGAATGTTTAAAAATATCCACTTTATGTTCAACAGCAGCACGATAATTCAATCTGTACAATTTCATTTGGAATTAAAGGTGTGTTTCAGGTGTTCATTCATGTGTTTGATGTGCCTGTAGACAAATGCACATTCCAGTATGTTCATCTGTCAACCATAAATAAACAATATGACAACGTTATAATTCAGACTGCATCATAAATGTCCAGCATATGGTCTTTAGAGTCCCACAGGAGGTAAATATATATGTAAGCTTCTCAGGAGTAACTACTATAAACCAACTTTACAAATAGGAATGGGCATTTTAGGTTTAATCCCATTTAGCATTATATAGCAGTACATTTAGTAATATTCTACTTTCAGCTTCAGCTCCCCTTTGTTGATAGAGTCTGTCCCTGTTCACTGTGTGTTGTTCCCTTCACAAAGTTATCTCCATATCATACTTGGAATTTATGACCTAGGTTTGTAGTAAAATAGAAGCTTGCCTAAGCTGACTGTTGCAAGTGTTTTATTACAATATTCATATGGTGACCCACATTTTACTGATCAATATTTCATATTCTATGTTTCAAATCCACTTTTAACTTTAACTTTAATCTTATTTATCTTTGCTCCCCTTTTTAAGTGTGTATGTATTGTGTTCCATTTTTAAATAGCTTTCATTTTTTATTAGTTACATTAAATACTGTTTTACTGTTTTACCTAGCAGACCTGTTTCAAGTAGCTCTGTTTGCTGCTTTGCTTGCTTGATGGGGTATCATTTATAATACTTTTCAAGGGTATCTGACATCAGATTTTGGTTCCTTGTTGGTCACTATGTGGAAAAAAAATCTACAGGCAGTTTTAACTAATCTAGAAAAACTGATACATTTACTTAAACTACCAAGAGCTTAGATTGTCATAAGTCCCAGTTCATCTGGTCACAGTGAGTGTAACTCTGCTCCCCTGCCCTCTTCTGGCATCAACCAAGTCCCTGGTTTCAACCGCACACTGTGAGGTAATTACAACAATGATCACTAGCATCAGTGAAAAGACTGAAAAAAGGGAAAGAAAGCACTGATATGTGTGAGTGAGTGAGCTGTGCCCGGCTCTGAAAATGTGCCGAGGCAAGCACATGTAATGATGGGGGTGTCAGTGTTCACACTGCCTGCTTCCTGC